AGAAACAGAAAAAGAAGATCAGGAAAATTCAACCCTCGAGCTCAAAGTCATGATGGTCGTTTTTGCGTTGATCATCGTGCTTCTCACGATCGTGAGCCAGCATTTGTGGAAGGTAGGAGTAAGGAGGCTGGAAATGTCTTGGTCAAACCAAGCTGGATCGTCTTCCCGAAGTCTCCCTGCAGGTGCTGCTGCTCAAAGAGAAGAAGAAGAAAAGGAAAATGGTGGTGAAGGGATGGCCGCTGTGGCAGGACAACTGTCACAGCGACCCACGTACCTCCCACCGGGTGGTGAAGGGATGGCCGCTGTGGCAGATCACACGCCGCAGCGACCCACGTACCTCCCACCAGGCGAAGGGTCTTCTTCGCCACTTGAAGATTCAACCTCTTCATCAGAGGACACTCCGTATCGTCCATTAGATGAGCGCCACATCCCTGGGTTCGACTTGGATCGAGTCATGCAGGAGATAGCAGATGAAGAAACCAACCTCTACGAGGAAGCACAGAGAAATCCAGAAAGATTCCAGAACTATGAGAACAGCGAGGAAAGAGCTAGAGCAGCTTTCCAAGTTTTGACCACTCGGTATGGCCGAGTTTATCGCTATCAGAGCCAGTGCAGGTACCTGTCGTCTGTCCAGACAGGAGCCAATCGAGAATCTGCCTGCTGTCGCATTTGCTGGGCCATTACCGCTCAAACGCGTGGACCCCCACCACCAGGAGTTCCACTTTGGATTGATCACTGGGGTGGAGATTATCATGTGGATTCAAGATGCCCACGCTGCGATCCAGAAAAGATGTTTCCAGCATGCCAAGGATGTGGTGAGAGCGCAGGTTAGATCTTTTTCCTTTTATTTGCACGATAGAAGCAGCTTGAGCCTGAATCTTGGGATGACCTCACGATATCCCAAGGGAGGAGTGCAGAATGCATTCCATTTTGACCATACCTGTCAGGCATTTTGACTTGCTGCAGATTTCACATTTGCCGATTTTCTGTAGCTGCTTTTTCTAACTCAAGCCGAGCACAACCCCGAGAAGGAAAAGTTGCAAGGTGCGAGGGAAACGGAAACTTTGCAAGGTGCGAGGGAAACGGAAACAGAGGAGACCTGCGCAAAGCAATAATCATCCTCATTATCATCATCATCATCATCATCATAATCAACAACAACAAGAACAACATCTTCATAGCCATAATTGCCTTCTAGGGTCCCACCTCGTTCCATACATACTGGCAGAAAATACTGACCAACAGAAAATGCTGGCTATCCAAGATTCGTTGATTCGTGATTCTATGTCTTCTTCTGTCAATATTTGGCTGGCATGATGATCCCCAACAATTCTTAGGAACTTAAGATGGGTTGAAACCAAAAGGCGCTCCCCCAAAGAAGAAAGGCTTCAAGGGGCAAAAAAAAAACCATCAACCGGCCAACGCAGGGCATATTTACTCACTAATCCAGGCAAATTGCAGCGATCTCATCACAGCCTCACCATAAAATGCTTCGGCGGAATCAGGTCATGGGCGTTTACTGAGGCTATTGATTATATAGACTTGGTTGTAGAGCTAGGGTTCAACCCTATGTGGATTTACATCTCCTAAATCAATCTCTTTGAGTCGGAGCTTTCCCCCAAAAGATCCATGGAACAAAACACTATGATATTCCGACATATGGATACATATGGTTCATTTTTGATTGGCAAATCTTCATTTTTTTCTCCTGACACCCTTGAGATTTCCTTGGGCAAACGCAACCATTGGACGGTCTGATTGTCAGGCCATTCGCTCGCCCCCCCAGCCGCTGTCCGCAGCTGCCACCGCCGTGCTCTTGGAGAATCTGGCGCAGGTCATGGACCTGAAAAAATGGGAGGGTTTTTAACCACCAAACATGATGATTTTATATCCCCTCAACTACTTAAGGTCTAGAGTACCCAGGCCTCCAGGCTTCAGGGGCCCAGGGTCTAGAGTACTTCCAGGAGCACTGTAGACCCTCCGCATTTAAGGTACTATAGACCCTTGAGCGTGTCTATGTTGGACATGATATATGGATGTCCCATAATTTTCTGTTTTGAAGATGTAAGGCAGATCTTGTTTTTTCAAAGGTCTGGACAGCTTTTCTGGCAATCATCAGGACAGGTTGGTTTTGCTGACCATTGTAGCTCTAGACCTTTGCCAAGCTAGATTCCCCAGTTCTTACAGAGGTCTGGACAGCGTTTCTGGCAATCATCAGGACAGGTTGGGTTTGCTGACCATTGTAGCTCTAGACCTTTGCCAAGCTAGATTCCCCAGTTCTTACAGAGGTCTGGACAGCGTTTCTGGCACTGATCAACACAGATTGGTTTTTCAGTGACTTAATATAATTTGTAGTATTTTCGAAACATAGTTTATTTTCAATATTCACTTGCATTAAAATAGTTTTTTTTGTAAGTTTGATTTATTTATGAAAATTATATATGTATATGTTGTTTTGATTTTTCATTTTTTCTGATATTTTTTTAAATAAGATTTTCAGATTCTTATTGATGTTTTCAGATGTTTTTCTGATTTTTTCAGATTTTTTTTTTGAAAATCTGAAATTCTTAGATTTTTTTCTGAAATTTTATTTTTTCTAAAATATCTGTGAAATTTTCAGATTTTTTCTGTTTTTTTTCAGATTTTTTCTTAAAATTTGAAAATTTCAGATTTTTTCTGAATTTTTCAGATTTTTTTTTTTGTGAAAATCTGAAATTTTCAGGTTTTCTCTGAATTTTTCATTTTTTTCTGAGAATCTGAAATTTTCAGATTTTTTCTGATTTTTTTCTGAAAATCTGATTTTCAGATTTTTTCTGAAAATTTGAAATTTTCAGATTTTTTCTGATTTTTTCATATTTTCTGAAAATCTGAAATTTTCCGATTTTTTATGTGTTTTTTTTAGATTTTTTCTGAAAATCTGAAATTTTCTGAATTTTTCACATTTTTTCTGAAAATCTGGACTTTTCAGATTTTTTCTGATTTTTTCATGTTTTTTCTGGAAATCATTTTTTTTCTGATTTTTTCAGATTTTTTCTGAAAATATTATATTTAATTTAAATTTAAATTTAATTAAAATCTGAAATTTTCAGAATTTTTCTGATTTGCACCATTCCTGAAGTGTGGATGTTCATGGCAAGAGCCCAAGAGCACTGGTGAAAAACGTGTGACAGCAGCGAAGAAAAAAATGAGCGAGAGAAAACATGTTGTTTGAAACATTTTTTTTTGGGTATTTTTGACGCATGGGTAAACGTCTTCAGACCTTCAGCATCTGTAAAGTCGAAGGGTCTAGACCACTGCGCGTGTTTTCCTGATTTAGCTATGGAACTTTTCTTCAGACCCCGTTTTTAGGGTCTACAGTGTAAGATCCAGGGTCCCAGCCAAGTAGCTGATGGTATGATTTTATTGGATTTAATCAACATCAACAAAATTGTGATTTAATGGGATTTAATCAAACATGGTGATTTAATGGGATTTAATCAACAAACTTGGTGATTTAATGGCATTTCATCGACAATCATTGGGATTAATAGGGATTTAATCAACAAAGATTGTTTTTTTTATTTTCAATGGGGGACAATCATGGGTTTAAATGGAGGTTTCCTAAGTCATGGGGGTACCCTGAAAAAATGACCCTGACTTCGTATTGAAACTTCCCCATGATGACGACTGGGGATCATTACAAAAAAGAACCCCCCGAGAGAGTCCCAACCACTGTGACCAGTGAGTCATTTGAGGTGATGATGAGTTGATGGGTTGATCATTTCAACGGTCAGCATTTATATTATATTATATTATACTAATTTATATTATATATAATATAATATAACATAATATAATATAATATAATGTAATGTAATGTAATGTAATGTAATATATATATGTATATATATAAATACATATATATATATTATATATATATATATTTAAATAAGTAGCAATTAAGATTGTATTTATTTTCGGTGATGAATAGTTGTGAACCATACTGATGGTAGATATGTATCTAATTAATGAGATTTATAAACTGTTTTCTTTTAATAACTGAGCAAGGATCTAGTTACTAGTTCTCTAAGGATTGGATGAAGGGAAAACATACAGAACACACCTAGTTTTGGGTTAAAAAAACACATGGTTTCCCTGCAATTTTCCTTTTAAACCACTCTAATTGAATGGGCTGGTTAACACGATTTCTGTAACCAATGCTACAAGGACTTGTGGAAACCTCACGGTGAATCTAGTCAATCAAAACATTGCACGGGAATTTACATAATGAAATGCAAGAAATAACATGTGAAGGATACATGCGTTTAATCCGAACATGTGGGGATACTCTATGTGATTATCCAACGCCAGCAAAGCTACTTGGGAATCAAAGCAGCAGAACACGCATCCAAGCCCATGTTTTGGGTATTGCGTGAGAGATTGTCATTTGCTGATCATTCATCAAGCAAACTTTTGCACGGAAGCAACACGCCATGGGAATGAAAGATGCGACAGGTTCAATATATGAACACAACTTCTATTTCCGGTAGCAGTACTTAGCAATGGGTCATGCAGTTGCTTAATTCTGGGGCCTATACCACATCGATATTTGTGGGGATCCTAGGCTTTGCTAAATGCTTTGTTGGAAACTCTGGGAGGACACAATGATTCACTGCAATCCTCTGATATCCACGGCACGTTTGCAGTATGCTCCTGTCATAAGAATAGCATGCGGATCTGGGATGCCTATAGTCTATTGTTCACCCACAATGCTACACTTTTTTGCTAGCAGAAACATTGGAACCCAACACTGAGAATATTGCTTGACCAGAGAATAATATAGAAAAATGAAATCCGATTCTATCATGGATGACGAATCACTGGACCCAGTTTGGCCTTTTCAGTCGGTATTTAAGATGTTCCACAGCTACCGTATGTTGGATTGCGCTGTTGTTTGTTGGATGACTTTATTCGCTTTCGTTTCAGGCTCAAAGACAATTCCCGCAGTTTTGGAAAAACCCATGGCTTTGGGTATGGCGGACAAGGATGTGCGCTACCATTCGATGGATGGAGAAGGCGGAAATGGGACTGGTACGAAAGCATCATCAAAGTAGAAATTTGCCAGTGGCCAATGAGGAATAGTATGGAACAGATTGGAAAAATATCTTTAAAGAAATCATATTTCAGTTCCTGAATTGTGTCAGTTAGGGTCGAAGTAAGCATTTGCAGTTGTTTGAACTACTTCTTGACCTTTCCGGGAATGAATAGAGCTCAGCTCATGCTGCAGGAAAGCTAGGATTCGAGGCTGACCCCGGGCTTGGAAAGTTTCCCATTTCCGGGGAGTCCCGTTGTGATGTTGCTGACCCGCTAGCTACAACAGCTGCATTGCTGAGGTGAATCCAGAGAGTCCCAGCTGACTGTGTGCCAGAGGTGGGGTTGAGACTTCAACCCCCGAATGGTGGACATGTACATTTACATAGGATTAATGTATGATATACATACATACCATATGTATGTATGCCATGTCTAATTACATATTAGCCTTAGCTCATGTGTCAGTGAGTGAAATATAGCACGGCTCAGCTAATATATGCATGGAGCGTATACATGATTTGCACATATTTGCATATAACTGGGGTGATCTCTGATGGAAACTGCTACTTCTGCGAGCCGCGTGCAGGTGTGGCATTGGCATGCTATGCCTGGTAATGACCTGAGACTTGCCAACAATTAGAATGATTAAAGTGGCAGATTTGTTGCGAACTCCTGACCATTTGTTTGGTTGCTAGATAGATAATATGATTTAATTTTTGTTTGTTTAGCACCCGTGGATGCACATTGGCCGATGAGTCCCCAACACGAGCATGTAGTCCGAATATGTAGGAATAGGGTGGGACCACTGTCAACAAAGGAGTGCGAACCCCAAAAGTAGTTCTCAATAAACGTAGTGGCGTAAACTTTTCTTGAGGATGGTTCAACTACAGCCTTTTCTGGAAAGTCATAGGGAATTGTTCATGGTCTCTAGCAAACACTGCATGAGTTGAATCATGTTGAATCCAGCTTGTTCTCCTGGCGTTTACACCATGTTTATGATGAGATATCATGAGTTTGCTCATGGTTGCTTCCAATGTTTGGTATGGCTTAAATCTATTCACACCCAAAATGCTTCAGTTTTTCAGTTCAGACTTACTATTACCATGGGCTGCAAGTACCTGTAAAATCTTCGAACCTTTGTGGAAACATCGTGTTTTACATATTTGAGTATAAAAACATCGTGTTGGGCCTTCCAGCTGTTTTTTTGACCGGGAAAAAATGGGTGCTTTGCCTGTCGTCCTGTACAAGGCTACTTTATTCCGATGCTCTCCTTCATTCCCCTGGCCTTGTTTGGTGGACTTCATACACCAAGCCCATGGGATGGTCATTACAACAAGGTAGCACCGGAACCCAATATCCCGGCAAAGGACTGGTGGCCAGGTTGTTTTTAAACGCGTGGGTGTCCTTGGTTGGTGCTGGGTTTATACCGGTTTATATTCTAAAAGAACTGTTGAGATCTGTTTCGTAATCATATAAATGTGTTTCAGTGGTTGCTTTCAGAATACTAGTAGCCATGGTAATGCTTTGCTGCAGTTTTTGACTCTTACAAAGATGGTTTCGTCTTGTCATGAAATTCCAACTTCTTTGCACTGGTGGATGGTCCCATCTAACCGTAGATTCCCGTAGATGTACAGTACCATATTCATATCCATGAAATAAACCCCAGTTGTTTTAACCAACTTACCCTCTGGTAACCTGGCTGCCGAAAGGAGATGCCGACCGGGAGATGGTATTGGAATTTGCCCCTGGTGTCCTGGTCGAGTAACCGAACTGGGGCACTGATCGATGAATTGGTGCCCCCAGTTCGGTAGCTAAGCCATTTTATAACTAGTGCATACTAGCGCTGGTTACCGGGGGTTCTGGTAGATATATGTAGATATCATGATATCTCCTGTGTTGATGGGGATTATCAATCTGTCGACTTAGCTATCTGGGATTATCTGGGCCCCAAGTTGTAGTTCCTGTTGGATCCATTCGTGTCGAGGCTGCGGGGGAACCTCATGGAGTAGTCGTGGGTAGTTCGTGTTTTTTTTTTCTCCGGGGTGCTGGAAGCAAATCTAAGGTCACGTTGATTCTTCTTTTGGTACCCAGTGGCATCATTTTTCTCATGTACCAGCTGAAGATGCGAAGTCTGACACACCAGAAGGAGACAAACTCCAGCAGCTTTTTGAATGCCTGAGATATCTTGAGATCAAGTTGACGTGAGTCATGTTCCGGCGTGCCTTCAAATGCAACGGGTTTGAGGCTCAGCTTCTCTGAAAAGTAGAAAATTATTTCTGTGGGGATCCCAACGTTGGAACCCGCTCATGCGATTCCAATCCCAAGTTTCAATGGCGTACAAAGCGCGTGTGAAGAACTTGCCTTGAAACGTCTTCAGGCAGCTTTGAGATAGCGAAATATCGCAGACCTCCACTGGTTGAGAAACCTTGTGCCCAAGACTCGTGGGCTCAATTGATGAACCATTTTTCAGCCATGGCCATAATCAAACAGCACCCCTATCAATTATCAATGCAACTTTATTCTGTAGCAATCCATGGAAGTGCTTCTGCAAATCTTTGTCTAAACATGCCTTCCAAGAAGACATGGCTGCTGCCGGAAGTCTCATTGTGGTCCTACTAAGAGGCAACGAGCCAATTGTAAGTGAGATTGTGACCCAGCTTACCCAATTGTGGCAGCCGTTGGGTGCACAACACCCAAAATCAAACCAAAACACACATATATCATATAATATATCTACATATTAATAATATATATTTAAAACAAATTAAGCACACACAGCTTATTTTATAGTTGTATTATATATCGATGTTCCACGAAAAATTTGGTTCCAGTGACTCCTCACTCTCGGGAGGCACCTGCCCGGCCGGGGGGCCTCCTGGATGCCATGCGGCAGAGAGGCCAGTTCTGGGGGGGCTGCGGTGTGGGACCCACGGTGGATCCGTGCTTCGTAAAGTGTAGACATAAATCTACAATAAGCTAATGTACGTATATATAAGTTATAACTTACTTTTTTTTTGAAGGTGATGTTTTAACATGGTTGCTTTCGGAACGGGATATACACCATTTGGGGAATCCATAGGGGATTTTTTGTGAGCGGGGGCCTGAAGCAAATCCAAGCGGTCCTAGTAAACCATCCCATTCACCTATCACTTAGGGGCTATGTTTTTTTCGGAGGGGCTGGGCTAAGCTTTTTTTTTGTTCCTCTGGGGCTATGTTCAATCATCGCAGTGCTAGGGGTATAGCCAACTTTATAAACCCCCATTGGGGATGGTTTATGGGATTAGGTTTACCACATGAACCAAGAATCTTGGGATAAACATTGACAAAAGGTGAGATTTGTGGGGATGTAATTAATGGGATATGTCATGAATTATGGGAACTATCGATAAATGGCAATTGCTTGATGGAATAATAATGATTGACAAGTGGTAATCGTTTGCTATATAAATTAATCAATTGTGCTGTGCACTAAACAGCTCAAAGCAAATATGTGGTCATGCATGCTTGGTTCATCATGTCTTTTTGTCAGCACAGTCTTTCCAAACCTTCCCAACCCGAAAAAAACGGAGGACACAACATTTGAAATGATAATTCGACAATGATACTGTTGATATCTGTTGATACTCATATCCGGAGATGGCTATTTCGACAATGTTCCATGTGGCCTTTGGCGGTTCTGTTAGACTTCAGTTGGAAGACGTCCGTTGGGTCAGGCACTTTGCCGGGCTCGCGGCCCATGCCAAGATCGCCCTCCAGTCCAGCAGTGGAGCCGCAGGTGGAGGATCTCAGGATTTGTTGAAGATGATTGGTTTAGCTTGTGGGGCATCCATTTGGGGAATCTACATGTATATATACATATAATTACATATATATATATACCGGGAAATCTACATATATACGTGTGTGTGTGTGTATAAATATATATATATATATATAGGGAATCTGAGATGTTTTATTTTTGGATCTTTTTGTTGGTTTTCTTAAGCATTTAAATGCAAGACCATCAAATATATGGAGCTGTCCTGTAAATTTCCCCTTACGACGAGAAATAGATTCCGAGTCTGAGATGTCTTTTGGTGCTGGACTTGCCGAAGGTGATTTGGGCGTGTCTGAAAATGGGGGATATCTCCAGTTTATGGATGATCATGATATATATATATATATACGTATGTATAGAGAATACAAGCATTATATTATATATATATATATATAAATCCCTACTGGAGAGGGCGATGGAGAAAGAGAGAGAGAGAGAGAGTTATATAACTACTGGATTTTTGGAATTTTCGGGGCATCCCATTTTCAGACAAATCCATTTCCTTATTAGAAAGTCAAATTTTCATACTGGACAAAATGTCGAAATGTTTCATTTTTTTTAAACGCCCCCTTGTGAACATCCAACTAAGCTCGGTGAGTAAGACCCTCGAAGATTGGAAGGAGGCAATGACCTCCAACTAAGCAAGGTGATTGTATCATAATGTATTTTGGGCTGTTTTTTGTGAGTTCAATGACCTTGTAAGGAGGCCTTATTCGAAGTACGACATTCCAGCCAGATCTACGGTGGTAATGCCATACTTTTCAAGGCCTCAACTTGCATGAACTCAGACAATTTTGTGCCGTAAATTCGAAACATCATGGGGATTTCAGCATTCCCCCTATATAGTCACTATATATTCACTAAGGATATCCAACACCCGCGTGCATGGCGAATCGCAACCGTTTTGCCATTGAAATCGCTCACAGGTCGCCTCACCCGGTAGCGCCGGTGCGGAGCGGAAGAGGTTGGGAACTCCCGTTGGGAACTATGAAACACTGAGGTACCCTCTGGTAAAGTCTGGTAAACTAACAGAACTATGGAGAATCACCATTCTTAATGGGTAAATCATGGTAAATCAACTATAAATGGCAATTTTCAATTAGCTATATGTTAAATTACCAGAGGGTAAATATATAATGGGGATACTTCATGGGATAAACCACCTAGCAACTGGATCCAACTGGGGATTTGGAACGCATCCATAATAGCTCACAAGAAAAAGATGAAGCAAAGTTGAAGCAACATGCCACCTGAATGGAACAATTTGGACTCTACAATGATTTGGACTTGTACTGACTTGTCCATCTTGGTTGAACATGTTGGAAAAGATAGCAACGTCATAATATTTTTAGTATTACAGTTGCAGCACAATTGTTCTCAATGTTCTTGGTATTTTTGTGCGGTCAAAGATGTGCCATGGGGCGCCTTCACTTGGTCTCTTGTCTGCAGTCAGTGTTTCTTACTAAATCCGTGCCAAAAAAAAACAGTATATAAGTGCCTTTAAATAGCAGCCACACCTGGGAATGTCATGGTTAGATTCACTAATAAGTAGATATCTCCTACTACTAAACAGACTCAAAATAACTTACAGCACTTTTTGCCTGATACCGACCTGGCTACTGTACCCTTTGGTTATTTAACATAGCTGTGAAAAATCACCACATTTAAATATGTAACCCATCTGTAAATGGGCCATGTTCACTCCATGTTCAATAGCGTAATAGCTCTGTATTTTTTGTCGCCCTCTTGGGGGGATACTCAGCGTCCAGGTCGCGAGATGAGTCTCCAGAAGCCTTGAGATCTAGGCCGCGGATTTGTGGCAAAACAGGTTGTGGATTTGAAGCCTGCTAGTACAGCAAAGCTTACATCACATTATACTTGTATCACATTTATATGGGTATGGGTCAAAATTAGGTACCCCTGGTGAACATCAAAATAGCTGGTAAATGGATGTTCATTCCCCTAAAAATGGTATTAATAGGTATTGATCCATAGCCATATAACATAAAACAATATAGATGCACCCCCTTTCGGAACGGTGGGATGATCTCCTTCCGTTGTGAAACACCAAAATCAGGCCTCTTCCGCAGAACGTGAGGCCCACTGCGGCGTTGCTCTGCAGATATGGAGATGGAGATGTTTTGTGGAGATACCCGTTACCGGTAATCAAACATGGCTAGTTGGGAAATCCCTTATTATAGATTCTAGATGGAGGTTGTGTTTTTTCATGGAAAAGCCATGTGTATAATTTTGTATATATATATGTATATATATATATATCTATATATGTGTGTGTATGCACATAAACGGAGAAATTCACATTGCCATGTACCTTTGATTACCAGGTTTTCTTTTGGACACAGCTTCTGTGAAAATTAATCGTCAGAAAGACTCAGATGTTGTTTCAGGTGGACACTGATTCCTTTGAGCTTGCATGGCACCACAGAGCATGCCATATTCAGGTTGCTTTGAGTCAGTCAATCACCATAAAACACGAGCATCCAAGAGCCAAGGAAGACCAAAGTCGCTCCCATGACTGGAGCGAACAAGGCCACGGATGCTTACGTTGAATCCTGCACAGTCCTTGCAGAAATTTAGAGCGGAATAGGCAGGCATTTGCAATGAGCATGATGCTCCACCAATGTTGTAGACCCAGCTGGTACGCCATCCCAATTGGTGTGTGTGAAATTGCGGACATTGCGGAAATGCCCCTCCCATTGGGATGATGCGGGGTTATGACATGTTATGACAACCTTTTTTTCTGTTGGTTACCAGGTCTATGTCATTGGGTTTGCCACGTTCAATTCACATGAAATAACTCTGGACTTCCTTCCATGTGCACTTCAAGTGATAAGTGTCTAATTATAGGTTGGAAAGATTATGGGCACAAAGAGATCCCAACCCACAGTAGCACGTTTTCTTAATGCGATCTAAGCGCACCTCAATACTTCTCAATGGTTCAAGTAAAAATCTAAGATCAGAAGGATTGTGCTTGTGCGCTCGTTGTTTTAGTTTTTTTAGTTCTATTCGGTGCCTAAGTGGGTTATAGCGCCAGTTGTAGATGGAAACATGCTGTATACCCTGCTGGATTCACTGGGGGGAATTGTGAACTAAGCCAGTACTCGTAACTGTGGTCAACCAATATGTTCCATTATGTCAATCCCATTGCATGGATCCTATTGTATTTCCATCACACACACACATATATATATATATACAGTAGATATATATATATATATGTGTGTGTGTGTGTTCCCAGTATCAACGATTTCAACCATGGTGGTGGTGCCAGGACCTTAAAGCCTCGCCGCCAACGCCGAAGCACCTTGACACGACTGGGTTCCCCATTTGGGGAACCGACTGGACCTGGGCCACTGGGGGGGTAAACCGACTGGTGAAAGCTGGTTTAATATGATGGTTTAATGCTGGTTGGTGGTTTGGAACATTTTTTTCCATACATTGGGAAGAATAATCCTGTGTGATAAGACTTTCTACGCCATCAATGGGGAAAGCAACGCACGGTATCTACCATTAGCATAGATGGCATAGATCAGACATGAAGTTGAGGTTGTCATTAGCCCCCATCATGGGCCTTATTTTTGGGTGCCATATAGTCGGGTATTGTTTGCACTGGATCTGCGTATGACGCACAAGGGCTCTGTCCATATCGCCGAGGCTCAAAGCTAAGCGACCGTGTGGATCTCGGAGATGTAAATATTGTGAGCGCTCATTATTGTACATGTAATTGCCACATTTAAACATGCCTAGCTGCCTGGAACTTCCAAATCCAGGAACTTCTTCGAGAGTTTAGGACTTTGATATTAATTCTTTGTGAGTTTATGAGTTTGATGTGTTTTTTTTTCTCGAGAAAAAAAAACGGGTCAACATTTTCGAACTTGGCATTTTGCCGGGTGACTTTGTTCTTCCCATGTTGGCTCCATGCGCTTTCTTGGCACCGTCCTTGGAGTCCAGGCCGGTGCCAGCCTTCAAGTCCCGAACCTGGTTGATACACCTGGTTGTAAGCAATAAATGGAGACACATGCAATAATTATAACTGGTTTATATATGTCTATTATATATTTAATTATTTATCTGGGATATGGATTGATATTTGGGGATTATCATGTTATTTTCAGATGTTTTTTTTTGGTTCTCAAGCAAGAACCAATGGAATATATGATTCTGATGGCACATATCAGCAATAAATGCGGGGGATTATCATCAATATTCGGATCTTCGTCTTGTTAAAGTCAAATACCATCCAAATGAATACCTGGCTTAGTATTGGAATAGTTACTTTTGGGGCCTGGGCCTCCAATAATAGGGTTATTTGATATTATTGTAGGGGGATGGAATGAGTGATAGGCTCTTGGTGGCTTAACGACATGTTGATTTTTTTTTATGTTTTTTTTTTTTTTTTTATCTTGAACAGATTATATATACACCCTAGGGTAAACTGACATAGATGTGCAAAACCAATGGTTTCCCTAGGAATATGATCTACAAATGGTGGGGTTTTCCACATCTATGTCAGTTTTTTGGAAGATTCCACTTGTATAAGTAGCATATGTTTGGGGTGGATAGGCTGAAACTGCCAACGAGTGAAGGTTGGGGGACCTGATTTCCTCTTTTCTGGGCTGCAAAAAAAAAAAAACGATCCTGGCAATGGAATGTTGCGACAAATCGACCGCTTGGACTGTCCCAAGTGAACTCACCGGTAGCCACCATTTTGTCATGTCTCAACCACCAGTTCTTGGTGAAACCTGTCAGGTCGGAGCTTGAACCGTCTAGGGCCAAGATGTGGGGAAATCAGGATTTGTCAGCACAAGAAGGGGATTTTTGGTAGGATCCATATGTAACAATAAAATACCAAAGACAAAAGAGAAACACACATCACTAAACCATAGTCCATAGCCAGTTATCAACCAGTTGGTGGCTACTGCATATCATCCTAAGATATCGTAAGTAGAGGTATATTACTCATTATCTATACCACAAAAAAGGAGGATAATCGTCCCAGATTGTTCCCTTTGAGGAAGTTCAATCAACATTCACCCCCTAACAGCTAAATGTCACAGCCTCGAGCTGCTAAACTCTAGCTCTGCTGAACTCCTTGAGAAGGTAATGGAGAAAGAGAGAGAGAATACAATGTAGTTGTTTGGAGACTGATGTAGGCATATAATATGTATATTGCATGTACATCATATATATATATATAGACATTAAAAGTAATTGCATTTGTATATGCATATATTATATATTTTTATATATGGTTTAAATATTCTATATTATTCTATATGTTTAAAATTGTTATAGCATGGATAGAAGTTTGCCCAAATGTGGCAGCTGATTCCGCTTCGCCAGTGACACCTTTTCGCAGCACCTCAGGTGGTTAGTGCTCCGCCAGATGCCACTGCTACTCGCCTAGCAATGACCTCACAACGTCACTGAAAAAAGTACTGTAATACTGTAAAGATGAGGGATCGTAATCATCACCATCCGAAAATGATCGAAAATTACCAGTCCAAATTATATATATATATATATAAATACTGGTGAATATATATATAATTATAGTATAACCATCCGAAAATATACCGCAATTATTTCAGGTATCCGAGCCGGAATGATTACCACAGACATCATGGTTCCATGATGTTCCATGTAGTATTGGATCATCTCATCATCTCATTCCGTTCAGAGCTTGGATGTCTACTCAGGGCTTAAGAGTCAGGCGTTAAAGGAGAATGGTGCACATTGATCATGTGCGCGAGGCCGCCGAAAAAGCCGGAGGACAACTATGAGCCAGGCTCTAAGATGATGATATGCTGCATTTCCATCAATTGGGATACCCCCAAATCATCATTTTTTTTGGGGATTTTCATGGATTTTCCATGAAATAAACCATCCAAACTTGGGAGTATCCTCGATGGAAACCTCCGCTTCAAGTCAGTGGATCCGTGAGAAATGGTCCCAGGGGCGGCCCTGAAAAATCGTTCGGCCAAAAAATCCACAAATCCCACATAAGTTGGTTGATGATTCCCATATGCTTGGGTTGTTACCCTCCGGTAAACTAACATAGCTATTGAAAATGGCCATTTATAGTGGAATTTCCCATTAAAAATGGTGATTTTCCATAGTTATGCTAGTTTACCAGAGGGTAACTTGTTAACTCCCCAATTTTGGCTAAGTCACCGTGGTCACCCGAGGATCAACTGGCATCACATGCTGTCCTGGTAACCCAAGGATCTCGGACAAAGGCTCCGATTCAGAGGCAGGGCTGGGCAGTGGTGGGGGGTCATTCCATGAACCAATGACCAAAGGGCAGCAGTGAGTTGAGCGCACACATGGAGATGCGTGCATGCCTACAAGTATTCTATGCATCTTTTGGTTGATTTGAATATTCCCAATTTTTATCATGAACAAGTTAGATATATCAAATGTACAACGATGGAACTTGAGGCTAGTGCAAACCACAAAAGGATACCTACACCGGAGATCAGTTATGTTGGTCCCAGATCAATGAGTGCCTGGGTTACGTTCTTTAATTGGTGGATCCATTTTGATAGCCACCACATTTTTGGACGTGGCAGCCCTGTAAACGTTCTTCAACGGAGGTTCTTCATCCGATGGTCTCAAGGGATGCGTTGAGCCTGAAATATGGACACCAGGGGACACCAGTAAATGAAGCCATTTTCGCTACATATTTTGTTTTATTTGGAAAATACATGTTTTCTTCTAGATTTTGTTTGTTGGTTTCGGTTGGTACTGTGAGACGTTGTAATCATTGTGAGGATTCAAGATGATTTAAGGAACAATCTACAGGCTAGATGAGGATACAATGTTTTTCCCGATGCATGTAAAATGCACATATGAGTAACCGACAAAGTTAGCGCAAGACTATATCAAGTAGTAGGGAGTGGACTTGGGATGTTCACATTTGTGTGAAAACATTCACAACCAATAGGGGACCACCCACTTTGGCCATGTCCATTGCGAGTAGTAAGTAATTTTGTTTGCCACACACACACGCACATATATAAAATATAAACATAGATATAAATTAAATATAGATATAACAATACAATGTACACCTATAATCAACCATGTCCACGTTTTTTTCCCTGCAGTTGTTGCGTTCCCTCAAAACAATCCAATGATATAATTAAGCCTAAACTTCTTGGCTCCCATCAGCACAGCATCCAGGAAGAAGATGATAGAAGCAGCAAAACCATCCCAGCTGTGACCCCAGATGAAGTTGCAACAGGTACCTTGGAGGTGCAAATTTTGCAGTAAACCTTTTAGACATCCAGAAACCTGCCAAGTTGGGGAACTCTCGGCATTGTTGCTATATATATATATATAACTATATATTATAACTATATGTATGTAACTATATATATATAACTATTTATATATATATACAGCATCAGATCTATATAATACATGTCGCTTCCTGGTGGACGATGTCCCAAGGAGTGGAGCGAGAAATACCTCGAGCTGCTGCAAACGCAGTCTGGTCGAAACCTCGGGCAGCATGGAATATGAAGGGCATATTAGTGGAATATGAGTGGAACATTAGTGGAATATTCCATTAATATGCCCTTCATATTAATTTTAATGGAATATTAATGGAAAATTAATGGAATATTAATGGAACATTGAAAATTAATGGAATATTAATGGAATACCGATGGAATACAAATTGAATACTATTGGACTGTTAATGGCAAATCATAGCGACCAACATGTACCTGTCATTGTTGGCATATCATAGCGAGCCCATTTCACCAAGACCCCATAGATGGTGGTTAGGATTGGGGAAATTATCCCTAAATGGCTAAAGCATGCTAAAGCAATCTGGTTTAAAGAAATACTTGACTTTTCCCAAGATTTAAACCATCGGGATGGATCAAAACATATGAAATACACATCTCAATGCCATATTTCAATATATTTCAGGGATGAACATCCATGAATCCCAGCTATTTTGGGGTGAACAGCTGGCTACCGGGGTTTCGACCCATACCCACAGTGGAATTAACAGCGGATGATATTCGAATATGCTAGATAATTTGAATATGTTTAAATGCATCAAATTCACCGATGATTCAGAGGCATCATATATTCACAAGAGATCACCGGGGGAACTCTTGGTGACCAGCGAAGCTGGGACATGTGGCAGCGAAACGATGCTGAGACATAGATGCTGACACGATCTTTGGAAGTCGTGCTGGGGTGCTCAGCTTGCGGCCCTTGAACGAAGTCTCCATTAAAAAAAAACAGTATTTTGGGTAAAACAACAATTTTCCACCCATTTGGGAATGGTAAACATAGTTTTACCCACATTGTAATATGTTTCAATGAGTATTAAGACAAACAACCTGTTGTTTTTTGTGCATTTTTTGTTTGTTTGCCACATTAGATGGTAAGATTTGGTGTGGTTGAGGTTTGGTTAATCTAATCTGGAAACGAAAACGCACCATTGTCAAAACATTTTGGGTCATGCTGACCAGCCAGATAAGCCACCCTGTTGCCTGGCCAAGATCGAACTTGCAATTCTGCAAGATTCTGCAAATTCATTATTTTAACAAAGATATATATATATATGTGGTAAATCAACAACTGTAGAGATATAAAGACATCAATATGTACTATCAGATACATCATTAGTTTGTGCTTAGATCCTTAGCTGAAAACTGTTTCAAGAGGAAAAAACAACTGGAACTGTGTTGGCACCCTCCACCCCAATCCGGTCCGGAAAGACAAAAACTTGCAGCTGAGGTACCAAAGTGTGACTTGGAGGATGTCTTCAAAGACAGTGACTATATGAAGTGCGTGGCTTAGCGTTCATGTTTCTCATTTGGATGCAAGAGGTATATCCTGAAAGAAATGGATGCTGCAAGCGCCCGTCCAGTCCAGTCCCTCAAGTGTGAGCTACCATATGCTACCATGAAATCCCAATATCTAAGAAGATGTGAACGGTCGCTGTGAACGTACCTTATGAATTGTGTGAACCCCAAGTCCCTCCAAAACATTCCAGAACCACCAATGAAAGAAATCCGTTTATAGACTCTCTTCAAGTGGCAACGGATACGCTCTGTGGGTGTCTTGGATTTTTCTTTGACAATGCAAATTGCAATTCTATTTCCACTAAGAGTCTAGTGCGGTAGACATATTAGTGAACCAGACCCGGCTTGCCCCATTCACATAATGTAATGTGTCTAAGATATATAATAATACCGCATGTTTATATACACATACAATTACATGCATGTATGCATGACCATGTGATGCCAGTTGACAACCATAATGCAAACAGGGACTTCGCACTCTTTCTCAATCGACTTCCTGATTTAAGACATTTTTTCCAAAATTATCGATCGACTTATCTACCTTAAGTTACTGTACTGATTTATCTGATTAATTTTTAGTAAAACTTAGATGCATCTTGTTCTTTCATTACCCTCTGGTGAACTAACATAGCAATGGAAAATTGCTATTTATAGTAGATTTTCCCATTAAAAATGGTGATTTTCCATTGCTATGTTAGTTTACCAGAGGGTAGTTCTCCACAACTGAAAGCAGTTTCGCACACTGGCCGCTAGAGGCGGCCATCGAGGTTTCAAACCGAGCGTCCGCCCCGACGACGTGGTTCCTCGGGCGAGTGGCGTCATGACAGTCTCAGCAGGCAGAGATTTCATGGGAACTGTGGAGCATCAGTGAACGGTCATGACCAGTCTGAAATCGTGATTATACCATCAAAAATAGGGATATCATCGACTATAATATTCATGGGATATCCCAGCAGATATATACCTGAAGTCAAGTGATGCCCCCAGCTAAGCTAGGTTGGTTTAGTTCAGTAGCTTAAGAAGTTGATTATGATGGAAGTTTAAGGGTGCCTCCCTCAGCGCATTGTAAACCCCATTTCTCAGGGTTGATGGTGGTGAGTAACTCCTAGCCATAAGGCCTTACCCTCTGGTAAATAAACATAGACCCTGAAAATAACCCATTTTTAATGGAAAATAATCTTCCAAGTCCTATTTGCCAGGGTCTATGTTAATTTACCAGAGGGTAATTGTTCAATGGTGACAAGAATGCCCATGGATTTTCATGACAAATCCAAGTTCAGAAAAGAACGTGCGCATATGCTTTGAAAAAAAAAACTATTTTATGTTTACATGGCGTATCCCCAGTTGTTTGTTTCTGCATAATTATCCAGTACATTTACAAGTTTTTGTGAAGCATGTGGGGTCCAGTTTTGTTGAATTGCCTTGTGACAATCAAAGATGGCAAGATCAAGTCCTCATTGTGTTCGAAGATGTCCATCTCTATAAAAATATAAATATATATACATATATATATATTTTAAAGGTTTTATTTGGTAAATGATGTATATAAATGTCTTGCCAGGTTGAATTTCTGGAAAGTGTGGCTGTGGCTGAATAGCCCATTCAGCACCAAAATTTGATGGGTTACGACTCAACATTGGAGCCACTTTATGGGTCCATGGATGCCCCAGTCGCCAATTCTGGAGAAACCCTATCATAGTGTTTCCATATCCCACTATGTCACTATGTCCTGCATAAAAAGTTGGTTTATATAGTATAGTTGGTTGAAAAAAGCCACTTCTTAGCAAGAGAATGCCCCATGTGGGAGATTTTGGGACGTTCACCACCATCCCAAGCCACCATGCTTTCAGGGAAGAAATTTGTGCCAAGCTCAAGGGTTGAGAGGAGCCAAGGATGGCTTCACCCAAGCAATTTCACCGTTGGGAGATTGCCTATATGGGCCTGGACGTATTTTCACATACATACATATTAATACATATTATATATATATGTATATATATGTATATATATAATTGTATATTATGTGTGTGTGTGAGATGAGATCCACATGGGGTCCAAGAGCAGTTTGAAGAAAAGGTGCGTTTAGCTCCAGCTGCTGTGTGCTCGGTGGTGAGTTTTTCATCGCCTATTTTTGCTCATATTGACACGCGCCCCAGGATACTAGATCAATATGTTACATGACGTGTATACATATATACATATATACATATATACATATATACATATATATATATATGTGCATATTATTTTCTATGTATATACATTTAGTATTACAATGTATTACATATTGATCTGCGTGTATCTAAATGTGCAGACATAATTTGCAAATAAATGCATCCTCCTGTAATCAAACATTGCAACTGAAAATCCCGATTACAGAAGTTTTCCCATTGACAATATTAACATCTCCATTTATTGGGGGTTTCAAAATTATCAAAAAAAAAAAACGCTATTTTTCATTGGTAAAACCCATCAAATCATCATGTTCATAAGATTTTCCAACCACGCGGGCTGACATCGGACAGCGGGTCATTTGAACTCATCGGACGTGCCGAGGCGCCTACAAGCGCAAGACAGGGCAGTTGCAGAGGCTTTTTCCGGCTCGTGGGACGGTCCGAGGTGATTATATACTTCTACAGTTTTAATAATTTGATAAGAATAATAGTGTATAGTAATAATAACTATAGTGTATATTATTTGAGATTATTATCTCTCTCTCTATATATATTATGTATATGTATTTGTTCTAATGTTACATCGACAATAGTAAAGGGGGGTCCCCCGTATTTTTTTTTTGGGGGGGTCTGCTTTGCAATAGTAAATCGAACATCCCAACTCTTCCCCAAGGCTTCTGTAAGGTTTTGACAAATCCTCTCTTTTCTGATAGGCTCTGATGGGATCTTCATTGGATTCTGATTGAGAACCTCTGTTTTCTGATAGGCTCTGGTGAGAATCACAATTACAAACCATTCAACCACAATTAAAAGCACTAAGGAAGAAGGAACAAAATATACAGCTAGAGCCAGAAAGGTTATTTTTTATTGCAAGTGCTAATTCCAATTTTTAATTGCAAATGCAAGGGCCTGCAAGGGGGTACCCTTTGTGGACCTGTTTTTTGCATTTGTTCAAAGGATTTTAATAAAGAAAACAGCTCTTTTGAACAAGGTAAAGTTTTTGATGTGGTAAAGGTTTGTTTTTTTTTGCTTTTGAAAAGCATGCAATCACAATTTAAAACCATTCAACCACAATTGAAGACACTAAGGAAGAAGGAAACAAATACAGCTGAGCTGTAACTGGTTCTGAGTTTTTTTCCTGCATCCATACTAAATCTCAATTAGCCCTTGTACAATTTAGTATTGGAAAAATCTGATAATTTAGGAATTTTCTGAAAATTATTGGCAGCTATTGCGAATGCAGCACAATTATTGCAGATGCTCTGGACCAAGATTGATGTCTGTAATTTAAAATCAAGAAGGCCTAATTTAAAATCAATAGGGGCTGAAAAATCAGATTCTGAAAATTATTTGTAGCTATTGCACGCGCTTTACTATTGTACTATTGTCCATCCAACATTATTATAAGATGCACTTATTCATGCTCTTCATAGTGGTGGTCTTAAGCCTTCGCACATTTCCGTGTGTGGGATGTTTCCTGGGAATTATACCACCACAAGGACGCACATGATGGGCTGCACCATGCCCATTATGAGCATCATAGAACCTGTTTCGACCACGGCACATATGTTTGGTCCATCACCATGAAAGAGAGGGAGAGAGAGAGAGAGAGATATATATATAGAATTATATACACATATATATATATATACATATATATATACATATTTACATATATATATATACATATTTACATATATATATATATATATACATATTTACATATGCATATATATATTTACATATGTATAGGTATGTATATATAAATACACATATATATATATATATAAATATGTTCATATACATACATGCATGCATGCATACATGCATACATGCAGACATGCATACATGCATACATGCAGACATGCAGACATGCAGAAATCCAGGCATACAGACATACACACATACACACACACACACATACACACATACATCCATCCATCCACTCATGCATGCATGCGTGCATCTATCCATCCATGCATGCATGCATACATACATACATGCAGACATGCAGACATACAGACATACAGACATACATCCATATATCCATATATCCATACATACACACACACAGACATACATACATACATACATACATACATACATACATACATACATACATACATACATACATACATACATACATACATACATACATACATACATACATACATACATACATACATACATACACACATATATATATATAATTATATATTTAATTATATATTTAATTATATATATATACACGTATGAATACACACAAATTCATATGAGTTGGGACCACCAAACCGCCCCATCATGTCCCACTTGTGACCAGGTGGCAGGCAAAAGCATAGCTGCCGGGCCCCCAATGTGCCATGCGACCTGCAGAATGCAAGCGACTTGGGGGCGGGATGAAACATGAAGCGCCTGTGATTCGTGAAGCCCCTGCTAAGGTTTGCGAGACCCGAAGCCATTGCGCTTCAGGCTGCGGGTGGCCGTGGGGTAATTAATTTTGTTTGGGGGTTCAGGCAGTTCAGGCTGTTTGTATCCTTTAGATTGGAAATCAGCTGGCCAACCATGGTCCATATGTGCCATGGTCAGAACTTGGATAACACACAAATCTTGGGGCATGGCCGTCAGTCCATTAGGGATTTGTATAATTACTGATGAGAAGGGTTCCCATAAGAGTGATGACCATACATTCATCCTATGTTTTGACCATGGCACATATGACACCTTAAAGATCCCTAAAGGGATGCGGAAGCCTTGAATGACAGATGGTCAAATGAACAATGCTCATTTGACTGGAACATGTGCTTCAATGATATCATGTTGTTTTTGATGTTGAGTTGGCCGTTGGCCAGCACGGTTGATTTTATTATTATGACATGCTGTGGCCGGTTGCGCTTGTGGATATGCGTCAGGTCATTGGCTGAGCAGTTCAGAAGCCTTTGCCACGATTTCGCCCGCAATGTTTCACCGCATCCCCATCATCCCTGCAGATGGGGACATGAGCCAAGCTTTAAGACTTTAAGAGTAGCTGTATGTAGCTGTGGCATGTTTGACCACATTTAAGGATGTTTGTATCAGAACATCCATCCATGGTTTCCTCGATCGAATTTGGATGATTTTGGTATTTCAGAAGTTGCTGATGAAAAAGAGCTGTTTCCTCTGAAATCTCGGTGCAGGCAGCAGGGTTAGCCCAGATTTCCAGGCTACGCTATGTGGGTAGATCCTGATGGGGCAGGATCTTTTCGATGCTGTGCACCAGCCAGGCGGCCAATGGGGTCAAGGATGATCAATTGAAAAAGTGTGGTTACCCCATGTTTTCCCATGCTTTCCCAATATTTATTCCTGCTGTTTTTTGGTATTGAGGTGCCCTTCAAACCCCTTGGGCGGCAGCCATAGAGCGCACAATGGAAACGAACCGCTTCAATGCCAAGTTGAAAATGCGTGCGCGGAAGGTTTCTGCGAGTTGGGTATCCTGAGTCCGAGGTTATAGCGATAAATCTTGAGATATGTTCAGATGATACATGCCATTTGTGATCTTATGCCTTTGAAGCCAGGAATCATCTCGGGCTGCGAGCTTGGCTCAATCCAAGGCATGTTTGGTCCATTTTGGTCCCATGGCCCAATTCATGGAAACTTCAACCGGTAGAAAGGCGATGTTGTCCACATGTCATTCCATGTTGTTCCACACAATGCACATACAGAGACGCATACATTCATAGTTATATATAGTTATAGTTATAGTTATAATAGTTATATAATATAATTACACATGCACAGTATCATTACATATGCCTATGATGAGCCCATGATTCTCTTCTTACTTATTCCATACTTAGCTCATGTCCATTCTCAATCATGTATCATGATCTATCCTGGACCTGCTTCAGCGAGGACGTGGGCCAGGGCCTAAGTCAGGCGTGGCAGATGCTACAGCAGCCACTAGCCCTCCTCAAAAAGCTACGGAAGTTTGTTTCACGTTCATATGGTCAATGGCCATTTCAGTACCTCCATTCTAGGATCCTGAAATTCCCATTGATATGGTTGCTTTTCACAAGGGCTTTCTTTGAAAAAATGGATGCGCACCTCAAATCCATTCGTCAGTCTTGATGGTCCCTGTTAGGCTTGCCTTGCCACTTTGATGGTACTGTAAGTGTTGCTGGGCTTTTGAGGCCATGATTGGTGCTTGTGCTGAGGCTGGAACCAACTTAAGACTTATGGCTACTTTTTGAGGGGGAAATCACTAAGTTTGAGCGCTATGTTTAGCCGATTCCCCCTAGTTGGGTGTTGAGAGCTAAAATCATTCTTCAAACATTGTTCTTCAATGTCATTCACAGTTGGTTTTCGCATGTTTTCGCATGGTCTAAGTGATGGCAATAAGTGAACTAATTCATTGCGTAGAAACAACTTCAAAATGGTTGCCTCTTACATTATGTAAATAATATATATATAATAATATATTCTACCCATCCTCTTCGAACCAGCCAGATGCTGGGTGATCTCTCATACATTGTCAAAAACTGAATTCTTGAGATTTTCGGACCCTTTTTGGAGTCCACCTTCAGAAGTCTACGTGGGCCTGTCTGAAAATGGTGCAACTAGCGTACTACCATGTACTACCCCCCCTTCTTTAGCAATCTAAAGATGTGGAAAATGATCATGAATCCAGCAGAGAACCGAAAGGCGCTAGAATCACAGGGCTGAGATGGGATGGTGCAGGAGTGCCAAGAATCATCGACACGGGAAAGAAAAGAAATGAGTTTGGTAGTCTCAACAATATCGGGTAATTAATTAATTTGTCATGATATAGTTTTGTTCTCCTTCTCAACGTATTTGGAAACATATTTGCAGGAGGATAGTTCAGGACTCATCATGGCTTCCGAAGGAGCGACTGCATTTCTGCCCATTTTGCTAGTCATAGCTGATGCCGCAACTTTACCTTTAGCCATGGCTCAAGTAGAGCTTTGGTTTGAGCCTTGCTTGTGACTGGAGACAGCATGAATGGATCTCCCGTCCATGACAAGATACCTTGATTTGGACAATCTACTCCATCGCAATGTTGTTTTATTATGTGTTCGGCAGGGCCACCTCGAGAAAATTCAAAACATCCAAAATAATGATTGATCTCATCAGTTGTGGCAATGGGTCATTGCACCATGCATATGTTTGTCTTCAATGTGCTCCAAGAACGTTCAAAAAATGTTTCGTGATGTGATGCGACTTCCAGTCGAACTCCTTTAATGGGACAGTCACTTGTTTTAATCAAAACATTCAAATCAGCTTCAACCCTACCATCTATAGAATCTATATAGTCTGGTTATGTCTAGTTGGTGAATGCATCATCAAATTGGTACCCACTTCAATTTCAAGAGGTTCAGGTTCCAGCATCAAGGCGGCAGGATTTTTTTCAGTGGATGATGGTCCTCAATGGCACTGGCGAATCTGGCGATTGCACCTGGGTCTCCCAGTGTAGCATCAACTGCCATTGATAGCGACACAGACCCTGAGGCTCCTGAGTGGGACGGGATGCGCAGCTAGGAAGCTGAAGAGCTTCCTGGAAGCCCTATCAATGTTTCTGCCTTGGTTCTGGCTACAAGTTGCTTCATGAATCATGAATCATGAATCATTCAAGAATCATGAATCATTCATCTCCAAAGACCTGCAAAAAATATCAAAAAATCAAAAACACCTGTGTGAAATTCGATGTTCTGAACCACTCCAGGAGGTGCAAGATCTCCAAGGGCAGTCGCACCATGAGGTGTCGATCAATGTGGGCTCGGAGAGCGAAGTGGAGGCTGGATGTGCGATGTCATGGGATTGATATGGATTAGGTGATGTAATAGTTGATGTTAGGGGATAGCCGAGATAGCTGTAAGTTGGGTTATAATTTGGCCTGTCACTAGTCTAGCTACGGTGGATATATCTACTAGGATCTACATTGTGTACGAGTCTACGCTTGGATGGGTTGAATCCACCCGAGTTGTCCTTGGCATACTGGGATTACTAGGATCTTATCCTGCAAATGCAGGGGTATTCGCCAAGAACATGGGGCGGATAAAGCATAACAAAGGTGCAACAGAATACAATATAGATGCGATAAAGAATACAATAGTGATCCTCGTGAGTCAGATATGCCGCAAGTTAACCCAACTTATTATGATCCAAACATATCCAATCTGGTACATCATGGTACACCCTGCGCGCTCAGAAACCAAGATACAGTTTTCTTCCTATAGAGAAAAAACAACATGTTGTGGACATGCGACTGATCGAAATATCATGAAATATCTCACAGAATCTAATGTCCTTTGGGGTTCTTTCCCTCGGACCCACCAGCTACAAAGAACCAATCTTCACATGCATTGACATGTAAAACCCAGTTTGATCAGCCACCCTCTGTAAACTAACGTAGCTATTGAACATGGCCATTTATATATATATATATACTTTGTTGATTTACCTTTTTTAACATGGTGATTTTCCATGGCAAACTGTGACAGTTTACCAGTTGATGTAACCATGGCCATCCCAACCTCCAATGCATCACTGCCAGATGGCCGAGCCAAAGCCGCCAGCTCCCGCACCCCTTCGCTCCGCGAGCTCCCAACGACAGACCTCGCTGCTACACTGGACTGCGACTTCGCAGTGGCTCGGCTGAAAGTTGATCCCTTTTCGGATGTGCCTTGGGCATAGGGTGGTGCCCCAAAAATGTTGGTAAAATTTGGTAAAATTGATTCTATAACAGGGCTAAATATGGCTTTTGGTGATTATGAAATATTATAAAGCTGGTCTGTTAGAAGACAACTGATAACTTCTGTGTATGGGTCAATATTGACTTGCTGATCCGCATGGTTGGAATGGCTTGAACCGACCAACATTGATTTTAGGATGTCGCCTATGATAAGGCTGTTCAAACATGTTAAAAACGGCAGTAGATATATATATATATATATATAATATTGATGCAGAATGAACCCTTCCTCAGAAAATATACATTATCAGTCCTGCTGCATATTTGAGCCCACCAAATCAACCGTCCCATACCTGACCCACAAAACAATGTCAAACTGGATCATTTAGGCGAAAGTTTAGGCATGCACGTGCCAGTCGAGTGAGTAATGCAAGAAGATATTCGGTACCATGGATGCCATGGCTGCCTCCCCTGTCCTCCAAAAAAAACCTGGCGGAAATTAGGAAAACATGGGAAAACCAATAGACAAATAGGAACAGATCAGACAAAAAATAGGAGGACATCACGGGTTTTTGTCCACCCCATGGTTTTCCTATTTTTTGTTGATGTCAATCCTATATTTTTCCTATACTTCTTCCTATATAATTTTATTAT